TGTAAGAAATTCCACAAAATTATAAAACCTAAAAATAATTCCTACCTGCCCAGAAATGTCCAGGAGTCATGGCTGTTGAGCCGAAGAAGATTTAAGGAAAAAGACAGACCAATACGGATTTGCCAAAAATGAAAGATAGTCTAATATGGGAACTAGTTATCTCTTACTAGAGCTGAGGAGACAGGAAACTAAAAAGAGCTGCCTTACTGGAATAATGGCTATCAGGTGGGAACCACCACAACATCTCTCCCTTTAGCACTGAGATCCTGAAGGCTTACCTGTGATAAGTCAGAAAGAAGAACCCAGGTGTCCCATTAACTCCACTGGCCATGACTAAGTCCTGAAATTCCCCTGGACAGCAGGACTTCTGTTTCAGCTGTCACATTATCTGTCATTTCCTCTTCCCAATATCACTTCTTTTCTTTTTTTGCTTTGTAATTAAAATCCACTTGAGCTGTTCTTCTGCAACAATTACGGTGATTCTGAAACTGAAAAGGTAGCTAAAAGCCTGGAACTGGTCCTAATACAATATATCTCTTAAGCACATAATAAACCCCATATACTTCCTTTGCCTTTCCAAAGGAACATGGTTGGAAGCAAAAATCAACATGAAAAACCAAAGTTGTATCTTCTGGTTTTGCAGTTCTTTTCGTTTTTACATGCATGTCATATTTCTGCCTCAGGGAAATAGTCCAAGATCAATAAAATTATCAGCAATCCCAGCCCTTCTCAACTACTTTTTACTCATTAAGGATAGCTGTTCCCATCTCTTAATGTCATCCAAAAGACTGTCAAATGGGAGGTTGTCCTCAAAAAGAAACTGCCACAAAAAAACCAAACACAAAAATCCTGTAGACAGAGGAGAAGGGTGATAAGGACTTGTACCTTTAAATCTTTTATTGACAAGTTACATTTTCAATGGTTGAAATTATTTTTATGTATCTTTAATAAAACTTATAAACCACACTAGTCTAAGACTTTATTGGCCAAGCCATGTATATTCAAAATCTTTAACTACACTTACTGTGTAATGATGTCAAGATTTTTGACTCCGAGGGCTACTTATTCAAAATTAAATAACACCACATAACTTTTCTAGCATCATCCACTAGCACTTCCTTCCCATTGCCACAGCCTATGAATACTTGTTTGCCTTTTCCTTGTATGATGATCAAAACTAAAAAGCCTTCCTTCTGGTACTTTCTGACTCTTCTTAGCAATTCATCACCTTATCACCACTACATCTTCTCTCTTTGTCCTGGAGATCTGAAGCCCTGAAGCTATTTCTGGGTGCACAGAAATATAGAAGCAGAAAGCAAAGTAGTAACAAAATGTGATTGTCAAAGAAAAGCAATTCCATAACAGTTCAGTCTGATTTACTTTGTTTATATTTTAGCAGATTTCTGTGGCAGACCTGAAAGTCCACTTGGGTCCTGTAAGGAAGAAAAAGTGTTTTGGTCAAAAGCAACCAGGTATAAACTTGGCTTGATGAAATTTCCAGAAGGACTCCAGCTAACAGTGGTCAGTGTTAATATTCTTGAAATGATCTTACATCGCAAGGTTGCTCTTACCAGGCTGGGTTGGTGTAGAAAGTTGTTCAGCACTTCATAGAGCTTGAGTCTAAATGCATTTTCTTGGTGTTCATCCACCAGTTTTTGAAGACTAAGACTCCAGTGATAACTTTTTATTGCAATTTAGCAAAAAAACCCCATCTGAGGCCAATAAGGGGGTCAAAAGCTAAAGGGAATCTTTGATGCAGTTACGTATAAGTGTAAACAGAAATTTACTGTGGAAGATGAATAGCAGCTTTAAATATAGACCTTGTTGCGGCCTATGTGACAGTCAAAACTGAAAAGTCTGGTTTTAATATCTCCTTCAGAAACTTCACTGCCACATCCACTGAGGGCAAGTTTGGGCCTGCAGAAAGTTCATTAATGTTGATGACTCAAGAGTCAAGGGCAAAAGGATGGGAAAGGAGACAGAGATATAACAGCAGCTTCAACCATAGGATCCACCACAAGCTCTCTATAGCAGTCTGAAGAACAGACAAACCATTCAGTTCTCAGGTGAGCATGTTTTGTGAGGAAGACAGTAAGGCTGTGGAGTAACGAGCATTTTAACAGCCGTTTTACAAAACGCAGAACTTTCACAGGCTTGGAGTTTTAGTTGACATTATTCTATGAAACAAAGGGAAAGGAGCAACAAAGAAGAAAGGAAAGTCCACAACATAATATCAAAGTCTTATCTTCTCCTCTCTGCCATATTTCATGTTCAGAACAACATAGCCAGCTCAAAAATTCCAGATCATTTCTCTTGAACCTGTCCGTATTCAAGTTCTCAACCAGCTATCAGTCACAGGTCTTAAAAGGAAAGAAAAAACCCCAGAACCTTGTGCACAGAAATAGTACAACAGGTAACAAGCAATATATCACAGAGAAAGTTATTCCCAATAGCATTTCAGCTGCCAACTAAAGAAACACAGTAACTCCATATTAAGGCCAGAATCTTCACAAATGCAACAAGCCTATCAAGAACCAAATATTTGCATTAGAAGTACATTCAGCTAAACTTTTTCTGATGTTTCACTGCATTGAAATCACCTCTTTTTTGAAACTAGAGAAAAAATTGAAAATCATACTTCTTTCTGGTTGTAATCTGTTTGATTTTCCTTTTTTTTTTTTTTTTTTGTAAACAGGAGGTTATCGTCAGGGCTAACCTCCTCCTAATATTGTAAGTCCCTTTTTCTGTTGAAGAACTGTGTAGTCTTCCTCAGGCTGAGGAGGAAAGTGATCACAATCAGAAAACCAGCAAATTTTCCAGAAGGTTCCAGAAATGCAAGATGGATCATGGCAGCATGTGATCTGTGAGACAAATTTAAGGGAGGCATTTCATGACTAAACAAGTTAACCAAGAGGTTAGAGTGAGCTAATGAATTGCAGAGTTGAAAAAAATAATCAAGGAACCATAAGAGACTCCTTATGAGTGTTGACTGTGACCTTGGATAAAAAGTTGAATAACTTCTCTGTACCTTTATTTAGCTCTGCAAAACAAAACCAATAAAATTCTGTAATACATAAAAAGAACACAAACCACTTTGTGATTAATGAATGCCACTGCACAAAAGGAGAGAATAGTATTTTTTGTGTTTATAACTGAGACTCCTAAAAGTACTGACAGATCACAGTGTCCTGTATATTTAGCATGAAATTGAAGGATGATTTGGGAAAGCAAACTATTTTTCCTTCCCTGTGAAGATGACCTCAATATGAAAATTTGGATTTTTTTTCCATAGTGATCGATTAGTGTAAATACTAACATCTGAAGAGCTCTGTAGTTCCAGCTCGACCTGCTGAAACTTTAAGGATACTTGTTCACTTGATCTCCTCCAGCCCTTACGCTATCCATTGAAATTAGCTGCTTGCTCGAATTCTGCTGTTTGAATTAAGTTAAACCTACCTATCTTTTTAAGTGCCTTTCTTATTGATCTACATAAACAAAGTGGGGAGATACAACTACAAATCTTTTTCTCATCTTCTTAATGCTCCCCTGAATCAGGTAGGATTTTTGTCAGTCCATTTTTATAAAGCATGTTCATTGCAGCTTCAAGGTGGGCGAGCTACAAACCAGTTAGTTCTATTGGTTCAAGTGCATATAAGATGTCTTCATTGACTCCTTTTTTCCTGTCAATTTAGGAGCTGACATAATTGAGTAACTATTGACATGATTACATATTACACATATATTCCACATTACAATGTGGAATAACTCCAGATATTTCAGTGAAGTATTTTTAAATTTACTCCACGACTGTAAATATGATTAGTATATAGTTTTTACTTTTGCAGTTGGACTAGATGAGCAGTTGGACTAGACGATCATTGTAGGTCCCTTCTGAGTCTATTCCTATTCTTTTCTATTCTGTTCTGTTCTATTCTATTCTATTCTATTCTATTCTATTCTATTCTACTCCATTCTATTCTATTCTACCTTCATCAAAATCTTGTGCACCTTGTGACAATCTTACCTTAAATGCTGGGGTGAAGACTCTTGTGTCCTGGGGTTATCTAGTCCTGGATTCTGCAGTAACTGCAAATATCATAATAACAATCAGTACAGAGTTATGTTTTTCACTGGAATAAATTTGAAATTTCATGATACATTAAGTATAATATACCTGTACCAGATTTCAGATATTGTATCTGTAAATCACTAGTAACTTAATTTTAAATTAAGTTAAATTAAATTTAAGCCCAGTGTGGTTTTGGACACCTGAGTATTACCCTCTCTTTAGGATACAAACCCTTTCTATAATGGCAATAAGAAGTTAGCGTGCTGAGATACATATTGATATGGGTACAGGTAAGTGTCATTTGCACATTTTGTCTTTTCACAGACATGGAACTAATTTGATTTCAGGACTGGAAAGAGAATTCTTAAAAAAAATCTCTTTTATAAGGAAATGATGCGGAAAGGATTTGATGAAAGAGGGCATCAAATCGGTGTTTTTTAATTCAGCGTTGGACTAGAGAAAGAGTTCAGTGGAAGGAAGGAGGAAGGAGAAACATTCAGGCATGCCTCTGCATCTATGAACAATCTCTGCCTGTTTAGTACAGAAAGAACCAATATCTGCTCATGCT